TTTTTTTGGAAAGCTTCAAATATATTGCACAAAAGGGACGAGGCCGGGGACCTCACAATTCAACCCGGAGTTATCCTGGCAGCATCAGCCAGTTTCGCTTACGAGCCCAGATCGAAACCCCCCTGATACCCAGCATTCATACCATCTCTCTTGCTGGAAACCGGGTCCAGCGTCCCATTCTAAAACAAAAAAACTTTCCAAAACTAAACCTTGAAGCACAATTAAAAGACTGCCAACCCAGTCAAGGACTGCTGTAAAAAAGAATTCTTCCTGCTTACCATACAGCTCCCTAGCTTAGGAATAACACAATCGAATAAAGACCAGATATATCTATAACTGATCAGCCTGTTTATCCGATTTCACATAATCTGTACGAGTGGCCTAAAACGGACCGCTTTCAAGTCGGCTTGAGCCAGCGGGAGATAACCAATTTCTTATCCTGCGATACTGCTGCCAATTGATTGCCCTTTGCCCATGTTCTCAGGAACCAAGTGAACCCCTTCTTCCTGCTTCTGGAACTCATCTGCCAGTCCGCCATCATCATCTGTCGTATACCCAGACGAACTTGCCGCTGCTGTTCCTGTAAGGAGATCTTTGAACTTGTGAACACCAATGCATTCCTAACCCTCCATATCTCTTGAAACAAGATCCCCTTGCAAACCATAGCGACATAGCCCCATCCCTCTTTCAGGGATGAATGCTGTATTGGAAGAATTCGGTACAACAGCCAGTCATCAGTCCACGGCCAGCATCGGCCTGTGACCAGGTCCCAATGCTTTACCCACCACATCCATAGTTCATCGGACAGAGGGCAGTATAGCCAGAGGTGGGCGTTAGATTCCCAACCCCACTCACATCTTCAGCAAATAGTAGAAAGGTTCATTCCTTTTTCGAAAAGCCACAATGCGGAGGCAACTACTAAAAGTGACTGGAGCCATAGCAGGCTGGCCGCTTTCTGAGAAGGCATTAATACCAGGGCCTTCCAGAAGCTTCTCCAGTCCGGTTGTTCGGTCAGGCCATTTCTGCTCTTTTTCAATCTTTTGCTGGCCAGTAGTTCAGGAGTTTTTTTAACTGAAGCTCGGAGGATATCAGAACCCACTCTAGTAGTGTACTGTGTGAGTGGTACCATATCCCGATGTCGTTTCCTGATCAGAGGCCAACTTTTGATTGTAGGATCTACCCTGAAGGCCAAAGCCGACCCTAATAGCTTCGCGTGCTTGGCATCTCTGCTCAGAAAAACTCTCGCCTCCTCACAGTTCCTTGTTGAAGATATTGTTCTTTCTGTTACCCGAAGGAGCATTCCTTGATCCGTCTGTAGCCCTGTTACTGTTCCTGGGATACGCCACTCCTCCACTCTTACTCCTACCGTCAAATCCGGTCCCAAAATCTTCCATAGCCTTCCCTGTGTTTCGTCTGAAAACACCCAAGAGCCTTCTCGTTGTTCTGATGTTTCTTTCAGCAATTCCGCCCACCCTCGTGGTATGGCAGTCCTCAGGGTCAACCAGTTGCTACCCAGATTTCTCAGTCGGGGTAGCTTTCTTCGCCATTTCTCATCGGTTACCCAGTCCTCTGTGTCACTGTCCCAAACATGCTTAACTTGTAACACTCCTTTCTCCATCCAAGACCTGGCAAAGCCCCCCTGCTCTCCATTTGCCTTAATTTGGATCCCGTTCTGCTGCAAAATATTCTGATTATCAAACAACGGTTGATTGAGTACTTCTCCCTTAGAGACCGGCAGATTACAGGTCTGAGGGAGAAGTTTTTGCCAGGCATATAGGATATCCCTCCAGACTCTTGATTTGGGTCTTCTATTAGAATATGAAGGCATCAGCAGGCATGTCCAAACTGCATCAGGTTGGGTAATATTCCATTCTAAACCAAGGATATACTCTGCTATGCGGATCCAGAGTTTAGAAGGGTTGTCAAACATGGCCTTTATCGGCCATTTGGCCAGCATAGCCAGGTTCTGGTGGCGAGGATCTAGGATTCCTAGACCCCCTTCCGAGCGTGGGAGAGCTACAGCTTCCCAAGCTACTTTTGCCATAAACCCATCCTCTTCCTTGGCCCCTGGCTATTTCGCTGCAACCCTTTTAATCTGGGAGTAAGCCTCATCCCGCAACCTGACAATAGTGAGTGGGTACCATAGCGTTGAGAAGGCCGAAGATGATATCACCAGTGCCCTACCAAACAAGGACAAGGTATGATTCTTTTGCCAATTGCTTATTCGGGCCGTGACCTTACCGGCCAAAATCTGATCTTGAGAGCTTGAACAATCTGACAACGACACTTGTATGTCGAGGAACCGTTTCGAGGGGTTTTGCGTTGGAATCTGCCGAAGACCCCAGTCAACTTTGAAGGTATACAGGGAAGGTAGAACAAAGACCGATTTATGCCAGTTTATCGATGCCTCAGACAATACTCCATAACTATCCAAGACTGATTTTAGTTCTTCTAATGCCCCTAAACTATTCTCACATGCAATTGTCAAGAACAGAGTTTCCCTTACTCTACCTGTGTTTCAGCTAACAAAGGGGACACTGGGACCGCTCCCCAACTTTTGGTCAGAACAGAGTTGTTCCAAGTTAAGATTTTGACTGGACTAGGGACTGCACTTGCTGGATTAATAGGTAGTAACGAGCTCCAGCTGTAGACGCTGGAGCTCATAGGTTTGAATTCCAGATTTGAGTCCTAGCATTAAGGCTAGCAGATCACTATTTCCAGGCAGCCCATGGGCTGAGAGGTCTTATGCATAGGATTCAGCTACTTTCGTCCGAGTCATGGAATAGAAGGTTATCGTCCTTTTGGGTTGCTGCTTTCTTTGTTTTCCAGGGGGTTGGTCCCCTGCAGGGCTTTTCCCTGTAAGCGAAACTGGGTAATGCTCCCAGAAGGTTCCTTTTCCGGGTAGACTGTGAGGACCCCGGCCTCTGTTCTATTTGATAATATAAGGCTTGGGCACTGGGCCCGATTAAAAAAAAAAAAAAAAAAAAAAAAAAAAGTTGTTGTTCAGGTCAAAAAAGGGAAATGGTCCAAGTTTTTGCAAAACAAAAACGGAAAAAGAGACCATGAACCTCGCCGATGAATAAAATAAAAATCAAAATAAGAATTAAAAAAAAATGAAAAAAGGATGTCAAGCCCGCCTCCAGCGGCAGCAGTAGTGCGGGTGGTGGAGATGGTCGGATCCCACCACCACGCCTCCCCTCATGTGAGAGACATCACCGGCGAGACGATGGCCATAGGCATTGCGCCTTCCGTCGTTGCGATTGTCTTCTCTCGTGGTGGTCGGCGATCGTGTCGTTTGGCTGTGATGCGTGAGTTTATCTTTATTTTCTTTGCCTTTCGTTCGTCGTTCTGTGCGTGCAGGACTCCCTTCGAGCCGTCGGCATGGAACCCATGTCTTCCCTTGCGAAAATTTCTCTTGACGAAGTTCCGAACATGGCTGGAGACTTCACACTCGTGCACCGCCGAATGATAGAGAATGCGCACGAGCTCACAAGAAAGAGAGGGTTCCTGTTTGAGCGTGTGCACACGATGGTTGCGGATCTGAAGCGAATGCGTGCCGATGTTGATGACGTGAACTTGAGGGAGGCCGTCGCCGCATCCAAGTTGGCGGATTCTGAGTGCATTGTTGCGGAGCTGCAGGACGTGGTCGACCACCTTCGTGCGCGGGTTCTGATGTTGGAGGGGGAGGTCCGCAAGACCCAGGACGGGGGGCGAATAATGTCGAACTCCACGGACAGTCCACCTTTTCCGAGCGGAGGGACTGTCGCTAGTGTTGTTGTGTCCTTCTGCCAGCAAGGAGCGGAAGCTGCAGTCTGCTCCCATGGCTGGAGGACAGTTGGCAGTGCGGGGGTCCGTGGTTGGTCATGCTCGAATCCGGGGAGATCTCCGGACCGTCTTGAGATCGAGCGGGTCACCGAACGTTTACGTAGGACAGTCGCAGGGGATGCGGACTCGTCCACTGGTGGCATGGCGGGGGGAAAGTGGGAGATGCCATCGCCGTAGTCTGGATCAGCGCCTAGGTCCGTATCGCCTGTTTCAGATTGCGGTCTTCCTGTAGTTGCCACTTGTTTTTTTTGGAGGGGGGGGGTTATGAAACGCACCGTTTGCTGGTGCAACAGACGGTGTGAAATTTGAAGTCATGTAACTGTCAATTTGGGAATGTCTTGGACATTTCTGAAATCGTGTGGAACGTCCGTGTGGTCGCTGTGAGGTCATTGTCGGTCTCAAAGTGGTGTGTGTCGCACATCAGGTCATGTGTGTGTCGACGTCGTGTCACTGTCATTTTTAAAAGCGTGTGGATGTCGTGTCATTGTTATATTGAAAATCGTGTGGAATGTTTGCAGTTTCAAAAAAATTGTATGCGTATTTTTTGTTTTCCTGATATGTGTTCTCAAGGTTGTTTTCATGTCGTTTCATAGCACACCGGGATGCTGCGGGTGTTTTTTGTCGTCTGTCAATGAACCGCTAACGACAAATGAACCAAAAACATTAGAACCTTTTCATAATTTTGCAGCCCGCTCTGGACCAACCATCCCCACCAGCCGGCAGTCTAGATGGCGAGTGGTGAAAATGGTTGTAGGTCCGCCTTGCAA